GGGCGGTATCAGGCACAATCAGCCCGATGTCGGACGTGCTGCGGATGGCACGTCGGGACTCCTGAACCCAGACGACAGGGCGGCGAACATGCGAACGCCTCTGGAAACGCTGCCAGTGTTCAGAAACCATGTGTGTGATTCGACAATGTGATTTTCGACGTCGCTCCTTTGAAAATCACATTTATTCTTGGCTGAGACATGCCGGTGGTTTGTTTTCAAAGCTGCCGGCAAGATTAGCTAAACTGCTCGCAAAATCAGTGCCTTCACGCATCAAATGGGACCGGAGAAATAAGGAAGCTGCATGCCCTTCGTCTCGGTAATTCGACCTGGGAGAGACAATTGGGTCATGATTGAATGAAGCCAGGCGTCCCTGCCTTACCCAAGGCCTCGTCAGACAGCCGGCATTATGACGATTATGCCAATGCCTATCTCTCCGTCCTATTTATCATGCAAATGCCTAGCTCTCAATCCTATCTTGTTACCTCTCTAACTTATTTACTATTCGAATACCTATTTCTATCGCTATCTCCAACTCTATCAATATCGTACTTTTCAGACGGTCTGCCCGGCACAAATAGCCATTGCAGTTGACGCGTCACTTAAACTCAATAACTATCCAATGTCTGTTCGTTTGGCATGCTGATTCATTGCTCGGCGCCGGTGCGAACCGGTCACGTGAAATTTGGTGAAATTTGTTACATTAGGCGTGCGGCAAGGCCAGCTGGGGCGCATAACTGCGCAATATATCTGAGCTGCTGTGGCCGGCGGGGCGCCGTTGGCACGTGCAAACGTGCTCCATTCAATTGACGCGCGAAGCGCGAAAATCGCGAATTGACAAAATTCGCAGAAACGCGTTCCGAAGCCGGGTACGCTGCTTGGCGACGGGGGTCGCAAAGAAAGCGATCAGCGCACCTTTACGCGAAAAAAAAGCGCGCAATCGTATTAGCAAAGGTGCCAATCCATGCGCCCAGCCGCGTACCGCATTCCCACGCGGCCGAAGTTGCTCTTCCACGTGCAAGAGCACATCAATGGTTTTCAGACGCCTTTCATGTTTGATGTCAGATCCCGGTGACGCGAGTAACTAGCGAGGTAAAGCCAACTGTACTTGTGAAGGTGCATGTCAGCTTGTGAAGGTGCATGCACCGCATGCAAATCGCCCAGGCAGCCCATCGCCGTCAGAGCTATTGCGTCGTCAGCAGTCGACCGGGAAGCGACCATTGTCGCTTTTGGAAGTTTTTCTTTTTTCGAAAACAAGCTCCAATACAATACGCCATCCTCTAGACTTAGCGGGCTGGGACCACGAAGGTGGCAGATCTATTGCATGGCTACCAATATCCACTAAAACTATTGCCGTATTTGACAAAGGTTTGGCCGCAATCGCCAAAAACGTCTGTCGCCGCAGCAATCTCGAAGTCCGTGGGCGCAACATACCGCGTTCACTTGCCGGTGCGGTGACTGCACGCGAAAATTGAAATCGCCAAATGCGAACTGACGATCCTCCGCGCGTGGTATACTCAGGCGAGGGGCTGGGCGGTCGGCAGCCGAGGGTTGTAGCCGAGCGTGGCAAAAGCGGTTCTGCTGACACGACAGAAACGCAGTTGCACTGTCGCTCACATCCGTTTCTGTGCTAGAGTGGTCACGTGACGTCGAGCGCGACGGCTGGATTGCCCAAGTCTCCCACAGATCGTGAAGCATATTGCATGTTCGCGGGGGATTATTTTGAAGTGTGCGAGAACATTCGACAGACCGGGTCGTGGCGACGCGGTACCTAAAAACCATGCGGCTGAGGCACAAAAAACCGTGTGCACACCTAGCCGCCCTGCAGCTGCTTTACAGCGCATGGCCAGCGCGTGCAGCTGGCCACGCGCGGTCGAGTGTGATGCATCAACCGGTTAGCTATATCACATGTCGCGTGTTGCCCAACCACGGTCTGAGCCGGAACATTCAGGTTTGGCTCGCGATTCCCCGCAATAAAAGTCTCCGGATGCTCGTGGCCAAATACCGTCGCGACAAAGTTGCAGGTTGCCCAAGGTTTTGGTGGCAGACAGAAATTTCGCAGGAAGCGTACGGATAAACGCTTCAAATCTCTGTTGCGCCACTGACCCAGTTACCCGCAGCAATTTTCTATCTGGCCTTGGTCAGTTAATTTCTTTTAGCCGAGCCGCTCCTATTCAAGAACGTCAAATGATCTTGAGATCATCTCAGCATCTAATTAATCTTATTTTGTTACTTTGTGTGATATGCATCGCTTAATGGTAATGACACATGGCATCCTTACGTGTCATTTTGGTGCATAATCAATAAGGACAGCCTTAGAAAGAAGTACGTAGGTAAAAACATGCATGCTTAAAGTACGTTTGAAACTGTTCGAAAGCAAATATATGTAAGGTATGAAGTTTGCTCAGCAGAATTAGCCACGCGAAGCTTCAAAGCAAAAGTTTTAAGCAAATATTTGTGTGGTATTACGTACGTAGGCAAAATATTCCTATTAAGAAAAGTTAATCGGGACAAAACGTGGCATGAGAAAAGTTTGAATCCATCAGTTGCGCATGCAGCTGTTCATAAGCAATTGTATGTACGGGAAAGTTCGTAACGAATGAAGTACGTTTGACAAAAGTAGCGACGTAAACTTTGCAAGCACCGATCACGTGAATAACACTATTTTATGGATACTTCTCTTATCGATAGCATCCCATGGCAGATCGACCACCCGGGTACCATTCTATGCACAGCCAGCTCTGAGATTTTGCTGAAATTCCGACGTGCGGACGCCTTCGGTGCTTGCAAAAGGCCACCCAGTAACGCGGCTACCAGTTTTGGCGTTGCAGCACGTGCCGTAGCGCACTTTCAGGGTTTTGACCAAGGTGACTGAAAGTTATGGCTAGGTCACCTTTAAGTGTAATGAACACAGATATGCCGCATGAAGTTGGCAAAAAGCTCTTCAAATGATAGAGGGACGAGACTGCTGAAGGTTGAGGCTATACACATCTAAAAACAAATCGGTGTCTCCGAACAAATTGCGCACTACGCAATACTGGCCTCCGATTTATATTTCAGGTTTCATAACGCCTGTCTGCTTGTCATGCATAACTGCATTCATTGCTCGGAGCCGTTGCAAGCTAGCCGCGTAACATTTGGCGTGCGGCACGGCCAGTAAGATGTATCACCTTGTCAGTCCGGGACCTGCTTTGACCGGCGGCATGCCGTCGGTACGCGCAAACGTGCCAGACGGTTTTTCAGGATTGACGTCAGGCATCGGCGACTCGAGCAGATAACGGCGTAATACGAACTGCGTCGTGGGGGTACGCGTACCGTCTACAAATCCCCCAGCCAGCCCAACGCCGCCAGACGCACTGCGACGTCAGCAATCGCACTGGATTGACCATGTCGCGCAATCTGAAAGCAATCTCGAATACAACATGCTGGCCCCAAAACCGAGTAAGCCGGGATCATGAAACTGACACGGATGGAAAGCACAATGCACTGTGATCACTATTCATCCAAAATATGTGCGAATTCCATAACGCTTTGGTCACAATCGCCCAAAGCATTCGTCATCGCAGAATCCCCGTTTTTGTCGTTGCAAGATGCCGCGATCATTTCCCGGTATATCAACGGCCACACATTGATAGTGGAGGGGCGAGCTCGTACCGGCGGTCGTCCGCGGCACGGACATCCAGGCATTGCTGAAAGTGGTGCTGCGAGTTAACACTGGCGGTCCCCTGCGGGGCAGAATCCAGGCGTGGCTGGCCGTGGACTTCCAAGTTTGCGCGGGCGGTCCTCTGCGGGGTGGATACCCAGGCGTGGCTGACAACGGAGCTGTGAGCTTGCACTGGCGGTCCTCCGTGGGGCGGATCCAGGCGTGGCGCTGTGCTTTCGGCTGCCGAGGGTGGCTGCTAAACGAGCCGAAATGATTCTGCTGCGACGACAGCATGCCATTGACTGGCACCCACATCCGTTCCCGCGTGCACGTCGGCACATGCCGTCGAGCATGCTAGCTGGACTCGCCAGTGGTTATACACATCGTGTAGCATATCGCCTATCCGCGAGGAGAATATTCAAAAGTGTGAAGAGACTTTGGCAGCCCGGGCCATGGCGACGCGGAACCCAAACAATAGGACAGACAACTCAAAAGGTTGCACAATAGGACAGCAACTCAAAAGGTTAAGCAATAGGGCAGCAATCCAAAAGGTTAAACAATACGACAGCAACTCAAAAGGTTAAGCAATAGGACAGCAACTCAAAAGGACAAGCAATAAGACAGCAACTCA